AAAGTTTTCACATGTGAAAGTGTGCCAGACAGTTGGCAAATTAGTGTTAATGATAGCCATACATGTGTATACTTTTGCTAGGAGTGTGTTGGAAATTTGGTAATTGAGTGTTGTGCAGTGAATTGTGCCTACAGTTTTGCAAAGTGTGTGTTACAAAATTGCAAACTGAGTGCAAAGCAGTTTTTGTGCTTTTAGTTTTGCAAACTCAGTGAGTGGTTGGCTGCCATATCGCGCCATCGGCCCCTCTGGCCAACACCAGTAGGCAGTAGGGTAAAGTGTCTTGCCCAAGGACACAACGACCAGGACAGAGAGCTCGGGGATTGAACCGGTGACCTTCCAGTTACAGATACGCATCCCTACCCCCTGAGCCACGGTCGCCCCGCAAAGCTACTCATTCAAACATTTATTTGTGCACTGTATCTGTCTGACATCTACATCTACAACAAAGAAACAATACGATACATTCCCTGTGCTCGTGTTATTAGGTGTCAGTAACCAGAAGTATAAGAGGAAAGTCCAGACATATTTGTATGGACTCTCAAAAGATATCAATAACATTTCCAAACCAGGACTACTTCAGTTAGTGTACAGGTGGTGGCACCTTGCTTTGCCTCAAACAATTTTGTAGCACCCATCCATTATCATGGAGGAGTGTAAATATAGAGACAAGAGAAATCAGGGCATCATGGCAGCATCACTAATTGTTTTCTAAATCTTCACCCAGTTGCACCATTCATTAAGAGCCCCTGTATATTTGTTAACGTTTGTGCCCACAGACTTTCCTGGAGAACAGCCACCCTGCGATCCAGTCTCTGGAATCGTTGCAGACCAGAGCCATGGAGGAGTTCTCCAAGGTGGCCTCCTTCTTTGGAGAGGACAGCAAGTCCTCCAGCACAGAGACCTTCTTTGGCATTTTTTCAGAGTTCGTATCCAAGTTTGAGGTGAGCTATTACTCCACTGTTCTCTGTCAAGGTGTTGATAGATGAACAAGGCTAAATTTGACTTGTTCCAGAAGGTGACAGTCATATTTTGGATATATTCAGCCGGCGTGTGACAGACTCAAACCTACTAAACAATGAGGCATTCAAACAGTGCTCTCACACAGACCGGCTGCCTGCAGCTATAAACTGATTAGGCTGCAAAGCGGCACTGTCTGTGGAATAAATGAATGTGCTCTAAATCTGAAAATAATGGGGTAAAATGAGTATAAATAAGAGGAGATTATGGTTTTTCTTTTGCAGAGAGCTCTCAGTGAGATCCAGACTCCGGAAAACCCCAGAAGCCCCAGACTGTCTTCCCCTTTGGCCTGGTAGAAGCAAGAAATGCGGGCAGATGTCGGGCCAAACCGAAAAGGCCGGCTGGCTCAGTTTTCACTCTGCTCTCCATAACCAAAGTGCCAAGATCACACACAGACACTCAAACCAACGGGAACAGAGACCACGTCATCTATAGCAAACACAATGGAAATGCGCTGTATCTGTATGTAGATAAACCACAAGTTAACGAGTGCCCCGTGTGCAGCAGTGCTATTACTTCAGGTGCTGGTAGAGCAGGACTATTCAGGTGTCCACAGATCAATAGGAACTCCACAGCACACACGCAATACTCCCGCCACTTATCAACGTTATTTACATCTCTTTTTAATGCGCATTAATTGGTAAATTTGTAAAGATTGTTAGAAGGAAGCCTTTCAAGGCCCTTGATTGTGATGCTGCATTAAAGCGAGGTTTAAGCAACGACAACAACTGGTATGACTATTTACATGTTTATTATACGACTATATAAAGTTTATATTTTCTATCAGATCATATTTGAAAATTGTAAAGACGAAGCATAAATGTAGGCTGATGACAGTTATCTGGACTCAAGATGACTGACAGGTGTAGTTCAGTGTTCGTGTTTGATGGTGCGCTCACTGCCTCCCATACTGCAGGATATATTTTAAACATTCAGAAATAGTAGACGGTAGGAGTTTTTAAACAATTTATGTCCAAATTGTGAATCTAGAACATGAATTGTATGACTTGTAGTCATATTTATTTCCTTTACTGTGAATTTAAATGACATCTATGATGAAAATCCTTTTTCTTTTCTCTTCTGATAGAGGCGAGTTAAAGTCACACACACCCAGCTCTGCTCCTAAAGTGTTGAGGATCTGATGTCTGTGGAAGCAAAGCAAGGCCGTAAAGATTGTAGAAATTTACAAATTTAAGTTTTATTAATATTTTAATTTTTCTTCTTCTTGTTATTATTATTATTATTATAAAATGTGTTAAAATAACTCAAAATGTCAAAACTCATCTTGCAGTGATAAAATCAAATTTGTCATTTGAACAAACAGATCTGAAGAGGATTCTTTGGCCTGCATCCTTTAAGGTTACATTGTTATGTCAGTCAAGTGTAAACACTCTACCATGACAGCTCGCAATCAATTTTTTGCCTTTGAATTGTTGCGTTGAAGACTCGGATGGAAATAAAACGGCAATAAGATGGAGTCTGACTGCTATCAGTTTGCGATTGAAGCCGGCAATCGCAAGAAATCTGTTGATGTCCAAATTCACATAAAACAAAAATTAACCACTTGTATTCCCAGTCCAGCCAGAAGCCCATAAACTCCTCCACCACTAGTGACGTAGTTGCTGCAGGTTGGCGATTTAACTGCAAATCAAATAGGTGCTGGGCAACCTTACAGGAAGATAAACAGAATACAACCAATTGGCAAACTGTTGAGTTGAATTCCCTACTGCAAAGAGAAACCACACAGATGAGT